GACGCAGGCGCAAGAATTGTCCCTTCGCGTTCTTCACGCCACGCCCCTGGGGGGGCGGGGAAGGAGAGCAACCGCAAAGGGGCGTGGCCAAGCGCCAAGCCCCGCCCACCACCGAGGCTGCAGTGGGAGGGGGGCCTGCGAATTAGCGCTCCTTCATGACGACGTGAGTGTTTTAGGGTCGGCAGATTCCGGGCTCTAACGATAGACGTCTCTTTTTGCTCTCAGCAGGTGGACTCTCTTTCCCATCATTTCCGGAGCCCTCGTCTTTTGTCCGATGCGTTTCCACCTGTGACTCCAATGAAATCTGCAAACCACAGGGTGGAGTAGGCCCACTCTGCAAGGTGCTTTATGAATTTTTCTAGATGTGTCTCACGATATATTTTCACCATGAGGCAGAGAGGGCACGGTCCGCCATTTGGTAGGTGGAGAAAGATGCTGTACAGAATGGAAAAGCGATTACTCATTCCAGTCACATTGCAATGCAGCTGCAGAACCTGCTTCAAATTCTTACCTCATTACTGTTCCCCAAAAGGGCTCTAGACCGCCTTGAGTCTTCAGATCGTCTCTTCCTGCGAATGGTCTATCAGGTAAAGAAGGCAAATTTTGACGGATAAAAACCTGAGCTTCTGAGAAAAGAAGAGCCAGGAGATAGCATCCGGGCTGTGGTTAGAGGGGATGGTAAGATGAGGTACTAGAAACTGAGAATATGGTACAAAATACACGATTGAATTTTATTCATAGGGGTCATTAGCAGAAAATGTATTTGAAACCAAATATCCAGCTCATATTAGATTTTGTTCATTTTTGGGGCTTCACTTCAGTTGGTCTGCAAAATTCAAAGCCTTCTCCCTACATTTGGTCAAAATATTTGAAATGTGCGTAATTCCTTTACAAAGGGGAACACAGACTGGAAATAATAAAAATCAAGGCTGTAGGCTTTGTTATTGCTTAAAGCAGCAATTGATGACCCGAAGGGCAATTGCAGGATCAGCAGATCCTGTAAAGATGCTGCCTCATGAAGGTCGAGGTACTCAGCCAGGTGGCCACTGAAAGGAAAAGCAATCTGGCCAGTGGAAATATTCTAGAACAGTGGACTACATCTGCCCTTGGCAGTTTTTAAGGTCAGACAAAGCCCAGACAGGAGAAAAACTCCCGGCTGTTGCAACACTGAATAAAGGCACAGAAGCATATTTCCCAAAATAACTTTGTGGCAAACATCTTACTCTGGCACCTACGGCATCAGGCATCAGTTGATAATGCAGGACTCTGCCCTTTAGATGGCAAGAGGAAATACCAGCCAATGGATGACCAAGCCCATCCTGATAAATGGATAAAGTTTAAAAATTTATGATAGTAGGTGCTCGATAAGGAAACGAAGCAATTGCTAGAATCTGGAGACCCTGGCTGGAAAGGAAACCCATTTCCATGATATCTAGAAGCAGAGAAAAGAAGCTAAAAATCAAGACACTGATGTGGTCTTGGTGGTCTCTTCAGACCCTTCAGATATTTTAATGTAAGACACCTTTGTGCCAAGTCAAATTGTTGAAGCTTATTTCCTTCCTGATCTCTCCTACTTTACCAGCAAACTTCCCAGGGAGCAAGACTGACTTGGGATGTTATTTGTATACATGATTTGTCCCACAAATGTTTACTGATCACCTGCTGTGTGTGTGGCACTATCCTGGGAAACCTGGAGGGATAAAAAAAAAATGTTTATCCTGTCTTCCATGAGCTTACAAGCTATTTGGGGCTTAGGACATACTCACATAAAGTTAAAAAATACAAATTAAATAGCAATCCCAAACAATCCCAAACAACACAATACTATCATGCTATAATTAGATGGCAAATGAATTGCATGAATTTAAGAGGGGAAGGAATCACTATGGACTTACAGTGGTTTGGGGAGGTTTTATGAAGAAGCCCAAAGTCAGACAGGGGTCTGGAGTGGTAAAGAGGTCATTGAAGGCAGGAGAAGAATGGTGTGAGGCAAATGCACAGTAAGACCTCCTTCTGGGCAGAACAATCACAGAACCCTCCTCCCAGCCCAGCCCATGACGCACTGCAGTGCTGGCTTGTCTAGCAGAAGAAACTGAGATTGGATCCCCTCTCACCTCTCCCCTTCACAGGCTGCCTCAGCCACCTGAAGTGGCTGGAGGCTCAGAAGTGTGTCTGAATAGAAGGTGTTTTGAGTGTGGTTAACCCAAATTGGCTAGAGCCAAGGGCTTGTACTGGGATAAGAGGGAGATAAAATGGGGAAGATGCATGGGGGTCAGAGTGTGGAGAAGCTGTAATATCGAACTAAAGAATGGAGGCTTTGTCTTTTTTAAAAAATATATATTTTTTATTGATTTCAGAGAGGAAGAGAGAGAGAGAGAGAGAGAGAGAGAAACATCATGATGAGAGGAGAATCATTGATTGGCTGCCTCCTGCACGCCCCCTATTGGGGATAGAGCCCACAATCCTGGGCATGTGCCCTTGACTGGAATCAAACCTGGGACCCTTCGGTCCGCAGGCCGACGCTCTATCCACTGAGCCAAACCAGCTAGGGCAAGGAGGCTTTGTCTTAAGACCAATGGGGATTCAGTGAAAGTTTTCAGGCAGGGAAGGGCCCCCGTGGGATTTTTAAAGTGCTCACTGTAGCGTAGTCATTCCTCAGAACTTCTGTTGAGCAATTTTTAATGCTGAGGCACTGAGCTGGGCCTCTTCTTCATTGGCCCTATCCTTACAGGACTGGTTATTACACAGCTAATTTACCTCCTCAGCTTCTAGGCCATCTCATTACCCCATTTTTTTTTCTTTAGAAAAAAAGTATGTATTTTAATTAAACATTTAAAAAATATATTCACATGTCATATATATGTTCGTATACACATGCATGCCCACACATCTTTTTCAAAAGTATATACAATACACTATAAAGTTTCTTCTATACTAACCCCTCTCCACCCACCAGTCTCTCCCTCTACATACATGTAGGTAACTGTTAGGAGCTTTTCGTGGCAAGTGCAAAGGTGAAGAAAGCAAATCTGTATCTTTACCCACCCTTTTATTTTTTTTTAATTTTTGAAAATATATTTTATTGATTTTTTACAGAGAGGAAGGGAGAGGGATAGAGAGTTAGAAACATCGATGAGAGAGAAACATCGATCA